GTTAACCGATGGGAATAGATTTCTGATTGCGTCCCCGACCGGCGGGCTGCTGAATGCTGAATTGCCGCACATGGTGCAAGCGAGCACCTCCGGCGGATTTCGCAAAAGGGATCGTTTCCACCGAGCCAAGCCCATCCATCCATCCATCCAGAGCGCGCCTTGTTACCGAAATATAGCGAATCACAATACCGTTAACATTCTATCTCTCTCTCTCCTTTGTTCGAATCTGTAACGTGGTGCCGAGTAAACGGAGTAAACAAGCGAGCTCTCCGCTCATTCGCCGAGGCGAATCGCGAGCGCGATAAACACGAGAACTGCGATCATCCGGCTCTCCGGCCGTGATGTGAGCGATCGAGAGGCCCTCGCCGCGGATCACGACGGCTGTTATGGTCACTTTCGGATTTCGCAAAGCCCGCCACTTTCGTCCACCTCGGAGGAAAGTCCGCGAGCGGCCTCCGCGCCTCGGTTCGCGTTTTTCTCGTTATCGCGTCTAGTTCCAAGATTTTTCAAAGCGGCCGCTCGGGTGACAAAGAACGGCGGCTAAAGTGCAGTCTGCAATGAGAATTTAAGGCATAAGACTCGAGCTTTAAAGCCTTAAGGCGTAAGAAACTGAGCGATCACAGTCGAACGTGAGAAGAATAATCGATTGGGACTGGTCAATTTCTTAAAGCTTTAAAGCTTTAAAGCTTAAGTTTTACGTTGCATTGTTAGGAAAATCCATATTAAATTTAATAATCCGGTTATGAAATTTTCTTTATATGGCCAAGTTATGTAAATTAATAATCGAAATTATATTACATTTAATAACGTGTAGTTATGAAAAATCACGTTCTGAACTTACTTTTCATAATGGTGTTGTAATAATTTAGAAACGATATAATAAAAATTGTGAAGGTATTATCAAATTTCAAAAACACTGTTATGAAAACTAATAACCTGGATTATAAGTTATCACAACACTATTATGAAAAGTGGATTCGGAATGACTTTTCGTAATTATACGTTATTAAATGTAATACTTTCTCGACAGATTAAAATCTTTTAAGGTCAGAATCAAATTCAACAGCTTGGAAACTACAAAAAACCGTTTTCACTTGCCATTCCGGGCAGTCGAAATCGGTAGCGCATTTAACCCATCGTTCTTCCCACCGAATGAGTGACATTTTTTGCTTCTCTTTCGCGATTCACCGCTGTTCTGCATGATTCGCGAATTCTCTGGACGGAATGTTCGCGGACTCTCTCGACGGGCTCTGTCCGGGCGACTCCGGCGCGCTGGGATTTCGCAAATCGGTCGTTTCGCATGCGAAACCGACCTACCGTATCGGCGTATTGCAAAAGTCTTTCTCCTCCTTCCCAAACGGTCGAAGAAGCAGAAAAAGAAGAAGAAGCAGAAGGAGACGCGCGAGACCGCTCGAGAGACGGCTCCGCCGTTTGGAAACGTTAAATCACCGCCACGTCGCATTTTCCAAGAGATCTTTTGCGATCTCTAACTATGTATTATTGTGCGCTTTTAACCACTTAGATCCCTCGCTCGGGTATCTCGACTCGTTATCGTCCAATCAACCGCGTAACAGCTGCGGGACGATTCGTTTACGGCGACTGCTTGCCCTAACATTGCCCACTAATTTCCACGTAATATCTCTTATAATGTGCTCCTCATAATCTTATAATTTTTTATATATTTCGTGCTTGAACAACGCCCGCTAATTTTCACGTAATATCTCTTACAATTGCATTTCAGAATTTTATAATTTTTTATCTTTTTCGTGCTCGAACGACGCCCGTTAATTTTCACGTAATATCTTTTACAATGTACACCTCAGAATTTTACGATCTTCTATCTCTTTCGTGCTCGAACAACGCCCGCTAATTTTCACGTAATATCTCTTACGATGTATACTTCAGGATTTTACAAATTTTTTCCTCTCTCGCGCTCGAACAGCGCGCGTTTTTACGCAATATCTTTTACGATGTATATTTCAGAATTTTATAATTTGTTATCTCTTTCGTGCTCGAATAACGCTCGTTAATTTTTCCCGTAATATCTTTTACAATGCACATTCCAGAATTTTGTAATTTTCCAATTTTCACACACATATATACGCGGCTCTTATTGATTAGATTCATTGTGCATTCATTACGGATGTAAATTCAAATTCTTTAATTCGATATATAGAACTCATTTCATATTCTAAATTAATTTAAATCAATCGTATTCGTTACGAATGAGTAACAGAACCGTGACGGTGTGCCGATAAGATTGATCCGAGAAATTCTCCCTAAATAAATATTCGAGGGATATCCCGATCGTCAATTCTCCTCGCGTGATTAACACACTAATTAAATACGAGAAGCCCGTTTAAGTCCATCGAGACACAACGAGCCCTCGGTTGCTCCGAAGCGTGCGGAGATTTATAATTTCATTAGACCCCCATCAAATTCGTCTCTCGCAACATGCACCACGTGCGGCGACGTCTATTAGCTTATTGGAGCGACTGACTCAGGTGAAAGGATCAAGCGCACAACGGCGTGCACGAGAGCGCATAGCTCGTCGGGCGAGCGCGCAACATCGTTTGCCCATGCAGAACACACCTGTCAACTCCGTTGACGGAGGCGCACGGTGACGACGAGCGCGGGAGGAGACTCGAAATAGAGGAAACCAGATCGGTGTCCTCAGGGAGCGGCCTGAGAAATCGCGGGTCGAACCCGAATATTTATTTATATTATTATTTATATTAAACCTTTTGATTCTAAGACAACTTATATAAAAACGAATGAAAAATACTTGAAATAAGTGTAATATTTACTTGAACGTAGCATGTATATAGAATTAAAGGTTCAAGAGAGAATTTAACAGGTGTAGCATCATCGAAGCAGGTTTTTATCAATTTACAGACCACCTAAGTAGACTTAAACCATCGTTAAGTGCGTCCAAGAAGCATCAAAATTTCGACTCGGCTACTCTTTAGCTCGATCGCCACGTGTGTGTGTGTGTGTGTGGGTGCCTGTGTGTGCATACACACGCGCGTGTGTGTATGTGTGTGCCAGTTATCCAACGGCGCGGACATTACGTAAACTGACATTTTCGCGGCTAACGCGAGCCAGCGAGCGAGCAAGCATACGATTCCAGCTGGAAAGCCAGCGAAACGTGGCGTGCGCGGGGCGCTCACCGACGATAACAGCCCGCCTTTCCCGACCGTTTTCGAAAAAGTTCACCACCGGGCGAATTGTCCAACCGCCGAGAGCGCAGATAATTAACCCTGCGTCCGGTCGACTCGTAATTAGCCGCTGTTATTGCACCGCACGTTACGTGCGCGATCCACGCGATCGTGGGACCATCTCGATGCTAATTACAATACACATCGCGAATGAGCCGAAAGAACCGCGGGAATCGATGAATCCCGCTACTAACGGCTCGGTGAAAACGTCAAATGCGGATCGAGTGAATCGTCGCCGAGCGAACGGCCGCCGGGACGAGAAGAAACGCGTTCTCGCGCGCGCGCGTCCAATAAGCGAACACGCGAATCTCACCGGGCGCCGCGGGGAGATACGCGCACTTTCGCACTCGAGACTGTCTCGGACGTGTCAACTGCGCCGGCAAAAAAAGAATAGAAAAGGAGAAAAAGAAAAGACAGAGCCGAGAAGAGGAGGAGGAGAAGAACAGCGCGACTTAGCGCAGGTCACCGTGGCGGAAACCGGTGCCGCGTCGTCGGCAGCATCATCTCAAGCGCTTATCGAAAGCGCCGTGAATGACCGATAAATAAAAACGAGAAGAAGAGATCTCAATGCGAACGCGAGTACTTTCTACGAGCACGCGATACCTACGCGAGCGGCTCGACCTTCGAGCGTGATTTAAAGTGAGACCGCTCGCGCCGGCTGGCCGACGAGCGCGAGGAAGTGTCGCGGAGAATTCGATAATTCTACGCGCGAATAAATTGACCGATTGCGCGGGTGGATAAATCAACGGCGGGATGCGCGTAAATCCGCGCCCCGGAGGAGATTACGTCGACGGTGATTCAACCTCTTCGGAGTGTTTGCGAAATCGGCACGTCGCCATAGGAGAGGCCTGAGAGAGTGCATCAGGCTGCGATAAAGCCTTAACATTTGCCGAGTTAAATCTCATTAGTCTTCTTAATCGTCCGCATCGTGTCGGTACATGTATTCATTATGACCTGCTCAGCTAATCCGTCATTTTTTTGACAACTCTTGATGTGCAATAATAATAATAATTATAATAATAACACTTTATCGGACGCTAACGCCATCATCAGTCATTTCGCACAATATCATGTATCACATCAAATTATGTATTATATTAAAGCATTATATATTAGTCAAATAATATCATATATATCGTATATTATCATATATTATATCATATTGTATCGTCGAATTGTATCATATATTGTACGCAGAAAAGTTAGTTATATTAAATAAACTCAAGTGAAACGCATATACTAAATCCGAAGGAACCTTTTTTTCTGTGTATAGTACATCATGTTGTATCATATCGCATTATATGATACATCACATTGTGTCATATTGAATCCAGATGCGATGCGTACGATTGGAGAGATTAATGAGATTCGGCCCGGCAAATGTGGAAATTTACGCCGCTTACGTATGAAAAATGCCAACAGAGGTGGACGGAGACAGCAGGACGCGAGGCACGAAAGCGCGTTATTATGTACGAAGGAATAAATCGACTCGGCTGACTCGGCTGCGTCTGTACGATTAAGCGACAGTTTTATACCGCCGAGAAAGTGTCGTTAAATTCAATCGATCGCTCGCTCGCTCGCTCGTTCACTCGCTCGTTCCTTCACTCGCACGTCGATCAAGAATACGATTCGTTAGACGCTACAGAAAATTTCAGCCACACAATGTGACGTTATTAAGCCTGTGTGTGTATGTGTGTGTGTATGTGCGAAAAACGTTGTGTAAAAATCGCCCGATGATGGATCTCGCTCCATAAATTACAGGGAAACAAATGCAACACTCACCCACTCTGGACGCGACCGCCAGGATCAGCAACACGCCGCTCACGATTATCATCTTCCCTGGTCGCTCGTGGCCGACGTAGCTTCACGATTCGTCCCGGTCCTGGGCAGACAGAAGCAATCGGGGTTGATATTGTTATTACATTTTCCCGTTTTCTCTACTCTTTCTCTCTCTCCCAATCTCTCTCTCTCTCTCTCTCTCTCTCTCTCACTCGCACTGAGAGGAAAATATAATCATCTTCGGGGACAACGATATCCTTGTTTTATTTTAACCACACAAAAATAGCAACATGCACGGTAAAATTACTATCACTGACACTGACAGCAACACTTATCAGGAAAATAGTCGATCTCAATGACTGTTTTTGTGTGGTTGAAATGAAAAAAAAAAGGATATTGCTGTCCCCGAAAATAACCATATTCTTCTCTCAGTTCGCGCTCTTTCTCCCTTTCTTTACGCGCGACTCTCACACACCGATCAACACGAAGCGAAGGGGGTGAGAGACCGACGAGGGCGCGCGACTCTCTCGGTCGGTCGGGATCGAGATTCGTCCGCTTCACGAAAGCCCGCAGGGGAAACTATGTCCCGGGCGATCTCGAGTAATCCACCTGGCGCGGACGACTTCGTCGGACGCGGCGCGACGACGGCGCGAGACACGGGACTGCCTACGAGAAGCGCAGCGGCGATGCAGCGCGCCGTTTTTCAGAGCCGCGTGAGCGCCATGAACGTTCGCAGAACATATGCTACGGTCACGAGGAGAGAAAGGTGACTGAGTATGCGCGAGGCGTGCTCGGTGCCTCCTGTCTTCGCGGCATAGTCACCTTTCTAGCAAAAGCGGCGACGACGGTGGCGGTGGCGGCAACAAAGAAGGGAGAACTTGGTGCCCGCTCTCGGGTACCACCACCGGAGTGATCGCTACCCACTACCTCCTCGACGGCCGCCGCTTCATCGTCGGAGTGGGGGCGGCCACCTCCGCCGTCGCCCGCGAAAACCGCCTTTTCCCCGGAGCTTTTCGCGCCCCCTCGCTCCCGCCGAGAGAATTGTTAACCCTGAAACTGTTCTCGGCTCCCTGCGGCCAAGGTGGTGGTAATGGTGGTGGTGGTGCCGCTAACGGTGGTCAGAGAGGGTTGCGCGTGCGAGCCCTAGTGGGGAGGCGCGCGGATCCCCGCACGCGACTCTCTGCTGCCGAGAGCAAGCCTGAAGGTCGGACTGAGTACCGCTAAAGTAAACAAGAAACATTAAATCGATATTTTGAAACATTGGTTTCACGTAGATTCTGTTAATACTTTGACGTAATGTTTTATAAATATATTTAAAATGTTACTTGATAATTCGATGTACCTAAATATTGAAATCATAGAATAGTATTTTTTTAACATTCGGGTCAAATATTGTTAACATTGACGTTTCAGGCAACATTAAGAACGACATATTTAGAAATGGTACATGTTATAAAATGTCAATGTAATAACGTTGTGTCAGCGATTTCTTGCTTATTGGGGGTCAACGGTTACATAACTTCTCCTTAGGAACGGAAAGAGCGAGAAGTGTAGACTTTCACATGAAAAGTTCCACGTTGGCTGCGTTCGGCACAATGAGAGTAAAATATGTGGTATTTGTAAATCGTTTTCAACAAATTATTTTTTCTCTGACGCGTGTCGTTCCACGGAGTGCCAAACTATGTCGTTTGTTTACATAAGCTAGAGGATCTCGGCAGGAATTTTAATTTATGTAAATGTTCGCGCGCGCAATCTTTTCCGTTTTCTTTCTTTATGTTAATATATTGACACATTTTGCACAATTTTATTATTTTTTGCATATTTTTGTTTTTTTACTGAGGTCAAATTTGAAAAAAAATTTTTTTAATTTTCACTCAAAAATCGCTACAAATTCCAACTACACAGTTAAAGCACAGTTTGCTCATCTTAAAAGCTAAATGCTGCTCCTATTGTCCTTTATATCAAATTTTTTTGTCTATATTTTTTTCTTAGTTACCATTTTATCTGCTTTCCAAAATTACCGGATATGACGCCCGGCGATCTTCTTTCCTGTTGCATGAAAACTATCGTGTAATTATAATTGTCAATCATTTTATTGCGTGTATAATAGTCGCATAATTGTCGTTTCATAGCAATGGGAACGTGGGACATCGCGAACGGTTGATGTAGAAGAAAAAAAAATGTGTCCATCGTGTGTTTGCAACATTTTTCTCTCGTTTCCCTAGTAATGACGATTCCGTGGTTTGTTTAAATAAACCTAGCGTCATTTGCGTGAGAGTTACCGAGATCGAACCCGAATCGCCCACCGCCGACATTCACGGCGGTTCACCTTCGCTCTCTTCCGTGCTCTTCCCCGGCCGCTCTTCGTCTCTCCGTCGCTTCGCTCTCACTTGGTCCCTTCATCTCTCTACAACTTTAATATCGTAATCGCGTTACGACACTCGTGATTCATCGTCGAGCTAATAATGATGATTATCTATTACCAGGCAACGAGTTTGCACGTGTGTGTTCTCTTTCTCTGGTTTTTCTTTTTTACAAAACAGTTTATTTCTCTTTTTTCCATATAAAATGACTAACACTATCTTATTACACGTTGTTCTTTCTCTCCTTCTTCTTCTTTTTCTTCTTGCGCAGTACGATTACATGGAAAATCTTCAACAGATCAGAATCGTTTCATATCAAATGCAATGAAAATATATCCGCGATCACCGCGTGGTGAGAACTCTCCCCTGTGAGGGGATCGCGCGCTCGACAGTCGGTGAATGAGGGGTCATTAATTAACGATCGGAACGTATCCGCGTCCGGGATTGTTTCGCCGTGGGATCGCGCGGATTAGTCTATATACCGGTTCCTATATATATATATATATATATATATATATATATANTATATATATATATATATATATAGATACTAATTTACAACCATTCATCGATCGATGCGAATCCAAAGTAGCGTAATCAAGACTACAGACAATACAAATGCGTATTACTGAGAAATGAATGAACGAACGGGTGATCGTGAAGAACACACATTACGTGTAACAAGAATATAATAAAGATTCCGGTCACTTCGCGGAGAGGAGGAGGAAGAGGATGAGGAGGAGAAGGCGGTCGCTCTCCTCGAATCTAACGCATTCGCGCATGCTCTCCTGAAATCGCAGAAATACATACATGTGTGTATGTGTGTGTACATGTGTGTGGGTATGTATATATATATATATATATATATATGTGTGTGTGTGTGTGTGTGTGTATGTAAAAATTATATATATATATAGAGCTCCTTTAATATTCCTCTGAGTTATTATAAAATCATTATTATATAAAACACACAATAATCGAAAACATATCACATACAGATAGCTTTCGTCATCAAAACGCGTAATGAGACGAACACAGAAACGCTGTGTTGCTTTACAGTTCTCCTCGACCGAAGAATTATATTACAACACATTACACGCCTCTCCCTCCGTCGTGTATAACAGCGCACGTTTATCGGTATAAACGACTAGACATTGTTGCTCTTTTACGGATGGGGGGGGGGGGCTAGGAAATTTCTCATCTTCTCCGTCTTTCTTTACTTTTGTGAAGTTCTCCTAAGAACTCGGCAGTATTCGAGTGGAGAAATGCTGTATACGGTGTAAATTCGAAAAAGGTTGCACTTGCTGACACGGTGATTGACGACACGTAAAAGGCGATTGCGAAGTAAAAACGACGCAACGTATGCGACAATATCGCATGCACGGCTGAACGAACCGACAGAATCTTTGCACCATCGGATACAAAATGCACGATCAATGTACGATCCACGTGAGGTCGGATCACAAGAATTCTTTCTTTCCCTTTCTCATTGTTGCTAAAAAGGAAAGCTCAACAACGCGAATAATCATACGTTACGAAACCGATTCGACAGCTGGCGAAAGATCGACATTAACGATCGTGTTAAAGCTTAACGTCTTCACGATTGCTTTGAATAGAAACGAATCTCGCTCACAGAATGGAACATCGACTTCCTTCCGCCGTCGTTGCCGAGAACGCTCGGCGAAGTCTATATTCTGAATTCTCAACGATTTCTCACACGTTCTCTCTCTCTCTCTTTCTCTTCTCGAGTCTAAAAGGGTTATACATGAATACATTTACTCGGATAGAAAAACATTTTGCAAATCTCTATGATTAAAAATATCATTATACATACAAACGATATCTCTTTGCATTTTCTTTCTTTTCTTTCATTATCTTAGATACATTAGCTGCGCGATAATCAGTGTGCGAGAGAAGTCACGCGCGCGCATGCGCGCGCGATCGTCGAAAAATTCCGCGAAACTCTCTCTCTCTCTCTCTCTCTCCCCCTTTCTTTCCTTTCTCTTCTTTTCTTTTTTGCTGCTTTTGTCATCGAATCGCTCGAATCGTGATCTCAATGGCCGGTCTGAAAAAGTCCAAGTGTTTGTTAAATAATTTCTTTTTTATTAATAACTATGAAACGATCTGTGTATATGTACATCGATTGAATCGCGGGACACCTCCCGGTAGCGGCCCGAGAGGTTGGTCGGTCTGAATAGAAACGTCGCTATTTCCTACAATTTGTACAAAATTGCTCGCAAATAAATCGCAGAATATCACCATGCGGTCCTCGCCGAATAAACCGGACTTTGATTTGACTGCCCGACGACAACGAGAGTAAACCTAGTATGGCGGTAGAGTAGCTCGCAGCAAACGCGCAAATGCAGCCACTATATATATTATATTATACATGCGCGCCCTCGCGCGTTTGCAGTTTCCTCGGCGATGACAGTGGGTCCGCTCTCTTCCGTTCTTCTCTCTCTCTCTCTCTCTCTCTCTCTATGTTCACGCTCACTATACCTTCTCACAAATCTTTCCCCTGGCCCTCCTCCCCCCTCCCACGTCCCACTCAACTCCTTCCTGAAACAATGTACAAAAAAAATATGCGGACACAGTAGGTAGTGCAGCTGAAGGGAAACAGACCCAGCGTCCATCGCGCGATGGCGTCGGCGGACACACGCGCACAAGGAATTAAATATAGTCGCGCGCGTAACCGAGCGTCGTCATGTGTAAAAGTGTGTATGAGAGGGTGTATGTGTGTGTACAATTCTAGTTGCTAACTAGTTCAATTTGCCTATACTTCTTGCGCAGATTGCTGACAGAGTCTTTGAACAATACGGGATCCAGCCGCATGTTGGAACGCAACAGCGGCATGTAGCCGAACACCGCGACGAAGGTGTTCATGCAGGTTTGCCGTTGTATGAAGTGATCCGGATCGTTCCACGGCGACCTGCGAATGGAGAGAGGAGCCACGTGTGTATATTTTTGAACGGACGTCACGGGCGATTGGAATCATTGCACGCGACATGACAAATACGATATTGAACCGATAGCGTGAGATGACGCGTCACCCACCTGATGCCGGCCACCGCGGTGTCTTTGTATAGCTTCCGCTGCGTCACTTTGATAGGCGGTCTCCGAGTGACGTGACTCACCAGGAAGTTCATGAGTATGTCCTCGCAGTTCTGCGACTGCTCGACGGTCTTGTGGAGGGTCGAGCTCAATAATTCGGTGTAAAGAGTATTATAGTAACGGTGGTAAAACGCGGCACCGGTGAGAATGATACTGTAGTCGTTCGTCCACTTGCTGGTGTAACCCCAGGAACGCTACAGGCGGACACACAGGCGTAGATGAACATTTATTTATTTATTTTATTAAGTATAATGGGAACATATATATGATGGCTTCAACGAGTAATCATATGACTAATGCAGACATTTGATCGCGTAGAGGCTGAATGAAAAACGAATCGAAGTTACCTCAGTCACGTACTTACCTTCGAGTCATCCCAATAATGAGATCTCGCTGGATAGCCTACTATTCGATCGGGAAAGGAGCGCCAAACCGTGAAGGCGAAGTCCACCTCGTCGGTGTTGAGAGTGGCGTCTTCGTCGAGAGACAATATGGCACTAGTTTTGATTAAAGGATGAGGATAAAAACGCTGCGATATACCGTCAACCGCCACCACGTGGATCGACGCTTTAATTCCCTGCCAACGCGGCCTCCTTGGCACCGGAACGTCCGAATTCCACATTAGTATTATCTTAAATGGAAAAGTCGAGCTTGATAAAAGGAAAAGAGAGAAAGAGAGAGAGAGAGAGAGAACAAACCTCTTACCTTATCTAAATATTTGCTCTTCGCGAGACTTTTGATCAGGCGATAGAGAACGGCGGTGGAACCCAATTGCGAATAGATTATGGCAGTGAAGGTGTTACCAGGGTTACTGTTCGAGAATGGGAGCTCCTGCTGGCTGTCGGCGAATTGCGGCAGGATCGCCAGAGCACCAGGACTGGTGTTCCAGACGACCCTTTCCCGCGCGCCTTCCCACGGTAAGCGCTCGCGAATATTCTAAAACGATGATGGGTATGTAAGAAGAGGAGAGTACGCGAGATAGGTCGAAGAACAGACAGACGGACGAACGAACGAACGAACGTAAGAACTCACCTCGAACACGGTGAATACGATCTTCTCGATGGACGAAAAATATCTTTCCCACAAGAACTGCGTCTGCTGGCGCAGTCTGAGAATTTGTACATTGGACACGGACCGCATTATATCTGGAATCTGCGGGACGTGCGAAATTGAAGTTACTGAGGTGAGAGAGTACGAGCCGAAGCTCGACTCAGTAATTGGAGGCGCGTCCCGCGCGTGACTTACTTGAAGTAACAGTCTTTCGTCGGAAAATATAACAGCCTGAGTCCAATCGATACGCTCGTGGAAGGGAAGGGCCCAACCGTTACTTAAGATAACTGGAATACATCCCGCTCGTAAGGCTTCTAGGAACCGAAAGCTGCCCAATCGTCGTCCACGCGGGACCAAGCAAAACGTAGCGTTCATCAGTAGAATCTCGTAGTCGTACCTGCGAGAAGAAAGACAAGTTACATCCCCTGCTTGATAGACGGGATATACAGGGTGAGGCAATAGCCACCATCGCCACCTTGAATGCCTTTAAAATATGAGAGTAGGGCAAAAATTGATCTAGCAGAAATTGCACTCGGACACCCTTTGTAAAGGGTGTCTGTCCGGACAAATTTGCATAGTCGCGTAGTAATGCATATGCACAAAGAAATTGACCAACTGTGTGTCTAATATGAAGGACATCATTTTGCCGCACGGATCATGATGGGTTGATTCAGGCATAGGAACGTTTAGCTATTAAAAATAATGAGAAAAGTGAGTTTAACTCCGGAAAAGGCAAGAAAATAGATTAAAAAAAAAATAAGTAAAAATCCTTTCCAAATAATTTGTGCGTTAAAAATTAATCTGTTTATTATACCACTCTCTTCTGGAGATTGAATTTTATTTATCTGATTTTTTTCTTAAATTTGTTCTGTAAATAACTTGTTTTTGCTTGGTGGACAAACGTGGATAAATCGCGGACGATTGATTCCACTACATAATTTAAAGAAAACACAGTCGGATGTGTTCATGACGGTCATTTCTCTGAACCTGATAAAAACAACTTAAAAATAAAAACACGGTTTTTCACTTTATAAATATTGTATCGTCGGAGTCATTATTACTTTCTTTTTTCTTTCATAGTAAAAAAATTGTGTTTAACACATTTTGCGTGTTCCGAAAGATTCACACAAATTTTTGTGTTAATTTAATACAAAGTGAATATGTTGAAAAGTAACACATTAAATAAAAAATTAGCACAAAAACAATATCCATATGTTAATCAACACGAGAAATATAAAATGTGTTATTTTAATACTTACACGTATTCACATTACATGAATCTCGACTCAAAATATTGAAATAACATAAACACAATATGTTAAATTAACACACGAGTATGTTAAAAATCTAACAAAAATGTTAAGAACCGATCTTACCACGAGTACAAGATGTTTTTTACCTTTGTATTGAATCTTTTGTTTAGCCTTTAGAGAATCTAATTATTGAATGACCGAGTTTTTTTTGGAAAAAAATTCAAGTTGAAAAAAAAGGGTAAAAAAAGGTTTACAAACAAGTGAAAAAAGGTGAGAAATGTGAGTCGTTTTCATGTTTATCGATTTCTTATGCATATGACAACATGCGATTATGCAAGTTTGTCCGAATAGGCCTTAAATATAAGCTTCTTTCGACTTCATGCAGCCGTCAATAAAATAAAATAATAATAAAACATTTTCCCTTTCCCAAAGTATATTCAAGTTGGCAAGAGTTATCATCGTTTCACCTAGTGTATCGCGAGACGAACGACACCATAGGCGTTCCACAGACTTGGGCGTATTTTTCACTCACGTGTCATACTCCTGATTATCTTGCTGACAGTGTTCATCCTGCAGTTCCCTCCATGCTTTGCCGTGTCGGCAGGTGGTGACGAACACCAAGTCTTTGCCGTTGTGCAAATGATAGAGAGCGTTCCTCGTTTCGGAGCCGATACCGTGCACGTATCGCTTGCCCTTGAAAGCTGCCACGTACTTCTTGTTGCTGGGGAAGTTGTTCTCCAGCGCCTGGCCGGGCTCGCCGCCCCGTTCCGGGTGTTGCTTGCCAAACAACGGTATTGACACGTCGAAGTCCGGTCTGTGTCTGAAGATGGACATGCTGGCCTTGGCGAGTATCGCGTAGCCAACGTCGAAGGCCAGCGACTCCTCTGCGTAATCGGGCCACGTGCCGGAGTAAAGGTTGAATATCAAGTGGTTTCTGCCGTTGTTCCAGTACGGCAGGTGCAGCAGTTTGGAGGGCAGATTGTGTACAAACTCGGTGGACAAGGGATCCCTATCTAACGTGTCCAGGGCTAAGACGAATATACATGCCCGGGCTGGGTCCGACGTGTAATACCGCGACTCGGTGATAACGTTTAATATTTTTTGGTATAATGGACTTATCACATCCTCGACTGGATACACGTACACGGTGAAGCCCTGCTTGCATCGCGTGAAGTCGAAGCAGGTCTCCATGCGGCAATGCCTCGTACGCTGGGACATAGCTGCCGGGTTGCCGTTGGATGTCCGTAAATCTTTGTCGTAGAACTCTTCGTTTAGACTTAAATATGAAGGCAATCGCTCGTAAGGCAACTGAGATCTGCCTGTCCACTTTTCGCTTTTCAAGCGGTAACCGCCGAAGTAGCAGTAACCAAGAAACGCGCAGGTTACGAACAACAGTAGATAGCGTTTCTTGGCTTGCATCTTTGATCGACAGTCAGGTTATGCAAAAGTGTACGGCGGCTCTAATAAGCATTATTTCCGAAAAGGTCCTATACGTAGTCACAAGCACATGGCGCTACTTTATACGGCTCAAAAGTCCCTCCAACACATCAAACCGGTCACTATCGCTTTCTCGTATCGCTGCAACAAGATAAAAGTTTCCATGTATCAGGTGTTTATTAAAAATATAAGCATACTTCGTGTGTGTGTGTGTGTGTGTGTGTGTGTGTGTGTGTGTGGAAAGTCATTGGAATACTTACAGGAATGACGAAGGTGCAGGAGGACACTTGTAGGAATTCTTACAGGAATGCTTGCGGGAAGTGAGATCTGATATGTGAAAAGTAGCACACTTGCAACGAGAGAGCTTGATAACCAAATTCGAAGTCTTCAGTTCAAATATTTAAGACACAAACAAGATAATAATGTTCTATTTTACTCATGTTACAAGCATGCATCGAGTGGATGGAAATTCACAAAAATATTTACAGGAATGATTGAAGGAATAAACTTGTAGAATTTCTTATGGGAGAGGAGGCGGGGCAAAGTCTGATATGGGAAAAGAAACACTTGCTCGACAATTAAATTCAAAGGTTCGGATATTTAAAACACAAACAAGATGATAACGTTCTATATTTATTGGCGTTATCATTATGATGATACACGACACTGATAGAACTTATGAAAAAACAGATACACAATTAAAACTGGTGGAAAAAGAACCTTAACTTAATAGCGCAGCCAGTTCAATAAAAGGGTTCATCTAAAGTCTGATGTGAGCAAAAAAAAACACGCAATGGCAGAGCTAAATTCAAAGCTCTCGGTTCAAATATTTAAAATACAAACAAGATGATAACGTTCTATTTTATTGGTGTTATCATCATGGTGATATGTAACGTGTGTTTAGGTCTGTTCCTTTTTGCTGAAGTGTAGAACTTATAGAACTTGAAGAAACACATATACACATGGAAAAAATTAATTAGTTTTAAATCAATGACAGATATTCTTATACGTAAGCAAGAATATTATAATCTTCTTAGAAAATTTCTAATCTTGGTTTGATTGAATTCATATTGATGCAAGTAAGATAAAAACACCAATGCCTGGATACATACCTAATTCTGAGCATTCTTATTATTTTGGCTTTCAGATTTAAATATTTGCATTATAAACTCAAATATAATAAGAAACGTTCAGAATTAGGTACTTATCTAGATATTGGTACTTTTATTTCATTACTTGCACTCAATTCAAGATTTAAAATCTCCCAAGAATATTCTAAAATTCCTGCTTATACATGAAAATATATATCATTGATTTAAGACTATTTTCTCCTGTGCAGCTAAGACTTAACGGAAGAAAGAGAAGAGAACCAGCCACAAGCTAGCTACAATCAGTTCAGTGAGGAAGAACAGAGCCTTCGCTAAAAATATATTCGCACGCATTTGTTGACATAGCGTTACCATCGCTAAGTCATCGTCAAATGCCAAATGCCAAGTCATATCCTAAATCCTGTAAATCTGCTGAAGTGACAAATCGAGGTCGCCGAATGATCGAGCACTTTTCGCAAAGAGGGGGAAAATTCAGAAGGAAAGCGTCCGCACAGTTACCTGTCTAAAATCAGGAGACACGATAGCCGTCGGCTCGATCCGCGCGGGGCACATGACGAAAACTCTCAAACCGATACGCCGTCGGTGACGAGCCCCACTTAGCCGGCTCCCTCGACGGGGATTTCAGGCCGCGGAATGCGACCGGGCGAGAGGATAGCGTGGAGGACTGCGCGATCTCGTCGCCGCTGCGACGGCGGTCGGTCGGTGAGGATAACCTATAAACTGCGCGATCCGTGGGAGGTCGCGCGGCCGACGGGCGCGCTGCACTTCCACGTCGCTGCGAAACGGCGCGTACGAGCGCTCCGATTCATGACGCGATACCTCGCACACGATATATGGCCTGTCTCCGCGGACACACACCACCGCGTAGCGTCGCGCCGCACACCGTCTAGGTTAGTTCGGACGGGCAGCAATACCGTCCTCGGGCCCGCCGGCGATCTCACGCCCGTGTCGCATCCTCGGCCAGCCTCGGCGGACGCGCGTCACGGCGATCGGCGAACCTGCGCGGATGCGAGATCATCGCGCGACCGAAGTGCATCGAGTAATTGCTTTTAAAACGCAAGAAACCACGCAGTGACGTTGAGAAGATCGTACGACTGTCAGGCCGCCCGTCGATCTCTCTCTCTCTCTCTCTCTTTCTCCCTCTTTCCATCGTTCTCTCTTTCTCTCTCTCTCCCGTGCGCGCGCGAGAGAGAGACACATCGCGGCGCTCCACGCGGTAGATTCCAGGATGGACTACTCAAAGTTGAAAAAAAATTCCCTGAGAATTCCCCGAGAATTTTCCGGGTATTTAAAATTCCAGGTAAGATGAAAGTATTTTTAAATGTGTCACGCGAATGAATATGCATTTATTGTGTTGCAACGTCCTTAATATTCTTTGCACGCATGAAAATTTGTAAATCGCAAAATAACATTGAGAATCGTTCGAGCTTCAATGAATAAATTTGAAGATTTTTAAAAGGGACTGCGAGAATTCTAAGAAGTATTTTATATTGCATAAAATTTTCTAAATTTATTTTCGACAGTTACAAAAAAGTTATGCATAGCCAGTCAAAATGCAACTTTTATAAATCTATTTAAATAAATATTTGTCTTAATTAAACAAAATTGTACTTAACACAAAATCGTTATTTTCAATATTGGATATCAGATTAATCGTAAACTTAATGTGCTCTAAACATCAAGCCAATATAATTAAACATTTAAATTGTATACATAGATATAGAACAAAAGAAAATTTATCGTAAACATAAAAGAGCTAATATTTAAATATTAAGGAGAAACTTAAAGACAACTTTAAATATATATATATATACGGAATGTTAATAAGTTCGTATCTGTGATATATAGCGCTATTCCTTATTAATTAAAGTTAAAATTAATTAAAAACATAAAACTAATTAAAAATCAAGTCGAAAAATTATGAACTATTTTTTCTTACGATTTTTAATAAAGGAAATATTATTAAATAACATTCAATCAATCGCAATATTTATCTATCTATGAATAACACAATAATATGGCTTGCGATAAATGTTTATTTAAAATTCCCTGATTTCCGATATAATTAATTCCGTGAGAATTTTCTGATTTTTTTCCAATCATAAACAAACTCTCTGAGAATTTCAGGTTTTCAAGATTTTACCAGGTAGTAAACACCTTCTTGTCTGTTCTTCTTCGGACTGGAACGTCGACAGAACGCGATTATTCAAGACAATCGGCTTCGAATTGACAGATGGCGCTCGCGAGCGAATATAGCAGAGCACCGACATTATCAACTGTTCTTTCTCTTCCCATGAACATCCCGCGAAACTCGAGCGGTAATTTGAATTCTAAGCTGATTGGCCAATCACAGTAAAGAATCTACGTTTAAAATTTCAATTCGAAATACTCCACCATAATTGGCCCATTCGATCTCAGAAGGAGCGAATGTTACCGCTCGCGTTTTCGTGTACCCACCGTCAGCCATTTTGTCAGTCGCTAACGAGAATCGTGAAGACGATTTTAAATATAGGATTTGATTTTGAATGTCGACCCCAAGTAGCAAGATAACATCAAATGACGTCTTAATAATGTCTTAATGACGTTAGAGATATCACTCTGCTCTACTTAAGATCTAAGTTATATTTTTCCGACATGCTTTGCGTGTTTCTTTTTTGCGCTCTCGGCGCCAATGACGCACTTTCCCAAGTAGAAAAATTTCTGAAAGATATCTAAAAAACTAGGACGTCTTTAAGACATCTTTTAGAAACTTGTCCTGCTTCTCATGCCCATTCTCTTTGCAATCGACTCAAATTCGCAAGTAAAATTCGATGTATAAGTCACGAAATCGTATCTATGCTGAGAGAAATTATAATTCTTCTCGAGGTCAACTATATCTTTTCTAAAGTTTTAACCACAAAAATAGTAGTAGCAATATGCATGTACAATTCCCACCAGTGATCACCCAGACGACATAATGTCTAAAATCGGAACATAAAACGTTTTATGATTCGATTTTGGACATTGCTGTCTGGGTAAGAATTCATTACAAACAACGTTATTACAATGGTATCTTATAACACGTAACGTTTTCAAACATATAGTTAAACATGTATTCTTAATGTTGTATACAACGTCATTTACAGCAATATTTGACCCAAACATTAAAAATAATATTTCTACACAATGATTTTAATATTTAAGAATATTATATTATCAAGTAACACTTCACAAATATTTATAAAATATCAAGTTAAAATGTTCATAAAATCCACATATCAATGTTTCAAATAATTGATTCACGTCTCTCGCTGGATTATTATCACTGATACATAATACACACTTACAATAACACTTACTAAAAAATGTTTCTCCTGACTACGATTCTTTCATTATGTTGATTACAAGTACTAAATATTTTTCTCTTGATGTATTACACATGTCGACACTTACCTTCCTACTTCCTCCCGCTGCTCCCGGCAATCACGGGTTGCGACGATCCAAGTCCAGGAATTCCCGCGACGCGAGGAACTTTTCCCAACTCGGTATTCCGACGCACGGAACATACGAGGCACACTGCCGGCACTCCGAACGATAAGTCGCTGCCCAGGCTCCGTGGTCGGGTCGAGAACGCGGCGTCCTGTGGCGCACTTGGAGCGGCCATAACGGCTGAGCGTGCGATACTCGCAGACGACACACCCGATAACCTGCGACTCCCCGCGAGATATTCACTCCCGGCTGCGATACTTCGCCGCGATAAACGCGCAACACTCGCTCCCGACGGCGATCCCGACCGCTACAACGTGAAAAGCAGCGAAAGACACGAAACTTGAGCTGACGCCGTCGCACGAACGGCACAATGGCGCGAATGGCGAACGCACAATGTCGCACCAACTCTCGACGAGCCAAACGCCTGCTCGTCACCCGAGGCGTCCGTTCTTCGCGATCTTCCGCGATGATGAGCGCGTGAGACTCACCCGTGACACACTCTCGACGACAAGGCTCGCCGGCGACGAGCCGAAACCCGAGAAACGAAGCAGATCCTCGGATCCTCGTAACCGTCACGACGCGAATCTACTTCGTAACTGAATTGCGACGGTTGCGATTTTCGAAGGTTCGACGCTGCGCGCGCAGCGCGCGCGAACGAGACTTCCCGAGCCAATCCGGTCTTTTCCGAAAGATCGAAAGATTCGAAGAACGAAAGACACCCAAGACGCTTTTGATATATTTAAAATATGTTGAATATAGGGTTTACTAAAGAATGAGATTATTTATTTGTCATGTATACGCTTCATCGCTGCGTCGGAGTAATTTGAACGACTCGGAAATTCCGCGCGACGAGAGCGTCACGTGACCCCATTCGCGGTAGTTTTGCGTTGATCGCGGAGAGAGGTTAGAATTCGTGCTTGTGTTAAAATCGGTCCTTGTTGAAATTTTTATGTCAAATTTTCAACATATCCGCGTAGTAATTTTTTAATGTCTGCATGTTATGTTCAATATTTTTCTCTATCCGGGTTAATACCCGAGTAATTAAAAGGCTCTGATTGTTTTATCGATATGACAGCAGTTCTCGCGGAGGTAAATATAAATATACGATACTCGATTAATAATGCAAGTAAACGAGCAATTAACGTGTTTCAGGCTGCAAAGGCCGAAAACGTACACCTATCGATCGGCCGCTCGGCAGTTTTTGGCCGTCCGTCGCGCGTTAAACTTCCTTGGAAAGTGATATACATTTCCTAACGGCGATAAGATTCGCGCGAAGGAAGGAGGAAGGGGCATGTTTCTTACAGTTGCGAAGGATGCGTTGCGAACGCTCGCGAAAGTCTACAGGGAGTTCTCCGTGGAGTCGACGATACACGGATTCAAGTATACAATTTTGGCAAAAACCAGACTGGAGAGGTAATATCGATCAATCTTTCTTTCGTAATTTACCACTATAAACTAATTTTGTGGAAGACAAATACAGGGAAATAAAATTAAAAATGCAAAACGCGCCGAAACCAGAAAGATTTCACTTTTTTTTAATAACTTCTTTTTCTTTTTTAATCATTTCTTTTTTCTTTTTGTCTTTTTTTCTTTCTTTTAATTGTTACTTGAATTAAGTAAATATTACTTGAATTTAGCACACTGAAAGAATAAAATAATATTTACTGAATCCAAGTAAAATAATTATTCCAATATTCCTTAGCAAATATTTACTTGAAATCCAAACAACATGCTAAAAGATGTCTCAAAGATGTCTTATTGTCTAAAAGACATTTTATATTAGTAGTCACATTAACGTCAAGTAACATGCTTCTCCCCAGGTCGGTTTGGGTGATCATTCTGCTGGTATCCTTCCTGGCTGCCGGACGAATGGCAAGCTTATTCTATGAGAGACACCAGTCCGCGAGCATGAGCACCCTGGTGATCAGCACACAATATTCGACATCCATGCTGGAGTTGCCGGCGATAACACTGTGCCACGGTGGTATCGCGATGACACATAAGGTGGTCCCTTACTTGACGTCGCAGAAGCGGATGTGAGCGATTTGTAATTTAATAACTATTTGTCATTAGTCATCGACAAGGTCGCGAATAACAAAAAGGAACGAAACTCAGACCGATGGAACCGGCAAAGGGATGCGCACGTAATAACTTGATTAGGAAAATGCAATAATATTATGGATGAATTACACACACGATATACTGGACGACAAGTTGCAGAACTGGAAAGTGGTGCTGGCAATTCTTGTTATTAATCGACCAGCTTAATCACGTTTTGACGAAAGTCACCCTTAATCACAGTCAAATCTTGTATTTAAGGTCATTTTTAATTTATCTCAAGACGTTTTTAGCCAGTGAAACTATCCGTATAGCGTCTCAAAATGAACTTAAAACGACCTCCAATATAAGAAATTTGACTATGAAATATGAATACTTTAAACTCCGATCAGCCTTTGAATTGTCATGATCATCACGATCTTCGCACCTTTTCAAGCGATCACAATCACTCAAAGTCGTCGCAATGACCCTTCCTCTCGTTCCCACCAGATACATGCCGCATGGGCTGACGCGCTTCGACTTTGAGCGGTCCCTCAGGTACTTACGGGAGGCGATCTATCCCAAGAACTATTTCCCCGACCAACTGGACCAACTGCAGCACATCCTCTCGGCGAACCGGCTCTCCTTGCTGGACCTCTTCGGGAACGTAAATCCGAACTGCAGTGACTTCCTGCTGCTGTGCCAGCTCGAAGGCCAGACTGTACCCTGTTCCAGGCTGATCGAGCCGGTGGTCACCTACTACGGGATCTGCTGCGCCTTCAATTACGAGTTCTCTCGCGGGAACTTGCAGAGGTGATTCTGGTGGAGCGACCGAGAGAGAACAAGCGAGAGAGAAATGCGTTAGCGAAGCGAAGGAGTACGAGAGAGAATGAGAAGGAACCTCCGAGAAAAATCTCGAGAACTGAGGAGAGTCTTCCGGACGTCTCTCACCTAGTGCGCTTCTCCTCTCACGCTCGCAACGCAAGAGCCGTTCGTTCTTCCGACACCAATCGCGCACTGAGTTCCACTCACGGACGTGTCGGTAAACGTCGCCACGACGGCGGCGGCGAAAGAGTTATGAAATTTTTCACCTTGACTACAACGCACTCCGCGCGATCGACATCCGACGCGTCGTGCGTGCGTATATGCATATGTGCCGTTACTCAACACTTTCGCGCAAAGCGAACTTTTTTCCTACCTGGCCACGGGGAAGGAATTTGTACCCCGGCGCATATTGTTATATAATCGGTTTACCTCGAATGTTTGTTTTCGTCTCACACGATGGGAATTTGTGGAATCTCAGTTCCTTTCTCTCTTTCTTTCTCTCTCTCTTTCTCTCTCTCTCTCTCTCTCTCTCTCTCTCTGGCTCTCGAGATAGAGAGTGGCTTCATCAAACAGCGGAGAAATAACGAAAGCTATTGAATTCGTTATCGGTTGTCCGATTATCGCGATAAAAATGGACATTCAAGCAGGCACATGAATTCATCTGGCGATCGGGTACAGCGAATCAGTGGCAGCGATAAATCGAACGAACGCGAAACAGGCTGTGACGTTGATAAAAAGAAATATAATAAAAAGAGTCCGTATAACGGTCCATTATCGATCGTGCTTCTGGCGACGGTTACAAAAAATCACGCTCGTGTCAGAAGTCAAACATGCGATACGCGGCTTCCGCTGATTTGAATATACGGGACGTTACGTCTGATGATATAAAAAGAGGAAACGAATAGAGAAGTATTATTCTCGGGTCGTCTAAAAACCATACTTTGTATGCGAGGAAGCGTCTCATTTACCATTAGCGGTTGTGTCAAGTCTTATCTCGCGTATCTCATCTTGTACGGATATTAATATTAATATGGGAGAATTTTTCCAATATTAACTCGCTTGTTGCCCGCTCAAATCGAAAAAGTCGTTCATTGTAAAACACATGTTATATTTTCAGTTAACCCTTTAAGATCCACACATAGACCCCATTGGAGTAAAACGTTGTAATCTATAAGATCGTCTTAAAGGACATTCCTGGTGAAGATCTTTTTGTTCGAGTAAAATTAGCCATCGATTTTCTGATTGTATATAATTTAAAAAGTATAAAAATGAGAAAATATTAAAATTGTTTTACTAAAGAAATATTTATTTTTTGCTTGTTTGTAACAACATAGTGGTCGAAGAATATCGGAAAAAATTTTCATAAATAGAATATATTTCGGCTTTTTCACAAATAACTTTATATAAATCTGAGTGTCGACGGCGTTGTCCTACATGCGCATATGTTGGTCTTCAGTTGGAAAGCTACTTCACGGGTTACGTCGGAGAATATAGCTTCATTTAGGATTGATAATATTATGAGACAAAATTCTTAAAGCGGGCCACCTAAAAATCGATGATTGAAATATTAAAAAATAATAAAAATTAAAAATTAAAAAATTAAAAATAATAAAAATTAAACAATTAAAAATTAAAAATAATAAAAATTAAACAATTAGAAATTACATGTACTTCTCAATCAGTTACGACAATAATTTTTACATATTTCGATTCCTTATTCAATTTCGAATAAATGAGTGAAAAAAAAAGTTGGTAACTCGCAATAGGTAAATTAACAACGTTCATGAAAACAACGTTCATGAAAACAACGTTCATGAAAAAAAAAAGTTGGTAACTCGCAATAGGTAAATTAACAACGTTCATTTACCTATTGCGAGTTACCAACTTTTTTTTTCACTCATTTATTCGAAATTGAATAAGGAATCGAAATATGTAAAAATTATTGTCGTAACTGATTGAGAAGTACATGTAATTTCTAATTGTTTATAACTTTTATGAATTTGTTTAAACAAATTACATGCTGCGTGAATTCTAAAAATATGTTCTTAAAGGGCTATTCTTTCCGACTTACTCATAAAATTTCATAAAGATTCGTTGAGCCAATCAGGAGAAAATAATTTTTTTATAAAATATGGGGGAAAAATGATATTGTTAATAACTTTTAAAAAAATCGAATTTTCAAAAAAAGAAAAAATACGTGTCTTTTATTTTTTAAAGTACTATCGAGGTACGTACATTATTTTTTAATATTTCAATCATCGATTTTTAGGTGGCCCGCTTTAAGAATTTTGTCTCTATATCAACAGAACCATTACTTTGTCAATAGACGGAATTTATAGAAAGTCCAGAGCTAATGTATTATTATGTATACTGGGCCTTGATGAGTTAACGTAGCGCGTATTTGCATTTAAGCACACGTAAAAAGTATTAGTTACGCAAACGGAGTATTTTACATAATGCGTCATACAAGTGACACTGGTCTCTTGTGAAAGAACACTGTTATTCAGAGATATGTACATTCAGAGAAAAATACACAGTTGAAGCCAGGGTCGAGCATTATTCGGATAAATTTTTATTTAATTGATATTTAAGCAAATTTTTACTTATTATTTGCTTTATTCGTCGAATATTATTTGGTGACCTCTGAATAAAAGTGTTATTTATAGATTTATTTAAGGTGAACTAAATCTGAAATAGCATAGCATAGCATAAGCTATAATTCTAGCATAGCACTATAGTTATTATGACCATAGAGATTTGGTCTTTTCTAATAATCATAAAATAATTTATCAAACTATATGCATAAATTCTACGTACAAAACTCGCACAGTTACCACGAATGTTAGCATATTTTTCTCCGAGTATACGTTGTTTTCAATTTGAAGCAAAATTTATTCCTTTCTTATGCATAATCTCGCGCGACTTTGGTCACCTCCTCCTCGCTAATTAACCGCAAAAGCTTGAAGAAACTTGGGTCCTCCTCGCCAGCAGTCTACATTCGCATAAATCGAAATCCGACTTGCTCTTCGTCTCCAAGACTTCTCCAAGAGAAAGAGAAAATAAGACCCGGCCAAACACAAAAATCAAAGCTAACCGGGTGCTCCTTTCAGTTCCACAAAGCTGCTGAAGCGGCGCAGGAGCGCAAAGGTCGGCTCGCACTTCGTCCTGTCGCTGCTCATGCGATCGTACCCATCGGAGGACCGCGCGGCCTCCGTCATGTTCGGCGACGGCGTGAAGGTGCTCGTGCACGAGAGGAGCACGTACCCGTCGCCGAAAGCGGTGGAATTCACGGCGGCGGCCAACCACGAGACGATAGCGCAGCTGGACGGCACCGTCCTGAGTAGCACGGCCGAGGTGCTGGAGCTGTCAGCGCGAAGATGCTCCACGAGCGGGCCGCAGGACCCGCGACCATATCGCTCGGACAATTGCCAGATCGAGTGCCGCGACTCCGCGGTGTGGAAGCTCTGCGGCTGCACGCCCTTGTCGGCGGCGCCCGCTGTCACCGCGACGCAGCGCGCTGCCCAGCCCTGTGACCTCACGCATATCCCGTGTCTGGCGCGTGCCATACTGAGGACGCACTCCGTGGTAGAGCAGGACCCGCGCTGCACCTGCCTGCCCGACTGCGAAGGCACCACGTATAAAGTGGCGCTCGCCAGCGCGCCCTTAAACGCTGCGCAGCACTGCCCGCGGCCGTTCTAGTGAGTAGCGAATTAGCGAAATACACGCCGATCGTTGATTAACTTTTAACCCACTTCGTCCCTCCGCTCTTGCGTAGCAACAATGTACCTGTCTTCGAACATTTTTTTTGTCTGTGATAAAAGTAGATTCTGATCTAAGTCTTGTTGTTGAGATATAGTTTGGACTTTTGCCTTTCGGAAGATAACTTCACGTGGCCACCACTCATCATCCTCCTCGGAGGTAGGGGTGGAAAATAATGCCTTGCCAAATATACCTTTCTAATTCATTGTTCCGCTTTTTCTAATTAATTAAAAATAGTAACAAGTGAACAATGGAAAAAATAATCATGAAGTATTGTTGCCAAAAGTTCGAATCGTCGGAAATGATGATTCCCGTTATGATAGGATTCGCCAGGTATACGCCAAGTATTACTCAAGATGTATTTTCTAGGCTATTTTCGACTATCTTCCAGAAAAAACGGCTAGTCGGAAAATTCGGATTTTTGAGTTCTTTGAGTTCTAATTACCCTAAAACAGTACTTGGATCTTACGGATCTCAATATTTTTGCAGCCCGGCCCGAATACGGGTTAATCGTATTTTGATAAGAATGACCTTGATCATTCCGTCGCAGGCGCATTGGTTCTAGATCGTCGATACCTTTCACTCATGCTGAGTCAGCAAAATGTACCGTTATGTTAGCATAAATTTAATTTTACTTCAATTGAATATATTTTAGTTCAATTTTAATTAAAACTGACGATCAATTACGTTGCAGCAAGAAGGTTCTGCAGTACGAAAACGTAACCGCACTCCACCTCACATTTGCTGGGCAAATGGCGATGCTGCAGCAGCGGAAACTGGTGCTGTCGAACATAAACCTTCTATGTGAGTAGCAACGCGACACAAACGAGAGCACGACTTGGTTACGTAAAATGACAAATTATTCGATTCGACAGCATCTCTGGGCGGCGTTTTCGGTCTGTTCTTAGGATGCAGCATAATCTCGGTCATCGAGATTCTCTACTTCTTCTGCATCTCTTTCGTCGTCAAGTTCAAAGAAGCCAGGAAACAAAGGAACATATCTCTCTCTCTCTCTTCTCTCGGTGAGAAGCATAACTGAGAATAACTTGAGAATTGCGGAGAATTGAACGGTAAGATCAATTCAAAAGAAGCCATTTAAACTGAAGAAACTGTGACGATGGATCAATTAACCAAATCATTTTAATCTTACTTTCCTAATTGTCCTCGTCGTCGTCCTCTGTACATCGTTCTCTGTACGTTCTCTGTACGTTCTCTGTACGTTGTTCTCTGTCTGAACTCTTGTGTTTTTCTCTAGATTCAAATTCTTCCTTGACAGATTCCTCCGTTGCGTCGTTATAAATTTTTAAAGTGTCTGCAGGCGATTTCCTCTTGTGCTTTGTCCTGGTATCTGGCTTCAAGGATATTTTGTGGCCTCTTAGAATTGGCCATTTGCACCTCTTCTTCAAGTACTCCGCCGCTATCTGGATATTTTCCATCTTAACTATCGCACTCCTGCACAATAGATATATTGTCAGTAGAAACAATCTTAACATGCATCCTCCAGGTATATCAGGGATTCAACATAGTGATTGGACAAGTTTCACTTACCTGAACTTATTATTATAAGGTTTCAATAAAGTCACAGAGACACATCCTGGTATGGCACCTTTTATTTCGTCTGCTTTTGTGCCAATTTCAATATTTGCAGCAAATATACTATAAAAATATACGATACAATATTTATAATCTTCTATGTATGTACAAAATAATATTACAATATGAACAGGAAGCAGATGTTCTTCCTTACGTTTGTGTCACCTTAATTTCAGGTCTAATTTTTGGCATAAAGACCTTCTTTTTCGGCTTCTTTATCACCTTATTCTTATCAGCAACTACAGTGCTATATAACGATTGAACCAAAATACGTTTGTCATTGATCGTTTTATTCTTCACAAGCTTCTGATTCATGATTTTCTCCTCCATACTGGAGAACACAACATAACATGACCTACTGGCCTGTCGCGGTAATTTAACAAAGAAACTACCACTGAACAAATTCTCAACATCCTTCCAATCCTTTATCGTATGAGGGAAACGAACGTGCAATGTGCGTTCCTTCCGTTTCTCCAGCCTTCTGAGCGAACATAATTTCCGTCGATAATGCATAACCTTATCGTATCCTGTAATTAGATAGATAGATAGATAGATTAAAAGAAAAAAAAAATATATATATATATTCTCCTACTTGTAAAAGAAATTCCAAATTCTTACTTATTAATAATTTCAAATACAAGTTATTTCTTCTTTAGGAAAGTTTTAAGACTGTTTCCATCTATTTTGTTACTTAACACACTTCTTTTCTCTTTAAGAACATTAATGTCTATATTACTTAAAATATAGATTACAATAAGTATAAATTATAGCACGTTATTTTTCTTGAATAGCCAAGAATATTCTCTCTTTCACTTTTGGTTACGGTAATCCTCCTACATCACTTCCGCCCATGAGTGCTTACTTTGAAGAGAAACCACACTTTGACAGAAAAGTAGAAAAGCAGCAGCCAATCAGAACTCGCGTTGCTAGCTGTAAGAAGTAAATAAAGCAGAAACTGTCGACTACCAGCGTGAGTTCTGACTTGCTGCTTCTTTTCCACCAAAGTGTGAATTCTGCTTTAAGATTAAATTGGATTGAAATTTGACCAGTTAGAGCAAAATTCACTGCCCCGTTGTATCTTTTTCGTTCCCGTTTTTTGTTGTCCACGAAACGACATTTTTCAACGTTTATCTTACAATTGTTGGAAGTTTCCTGTGCTGAGATTGGATTATTCCTCTGGATCCACAAGAATAATCCAATCACGGCCGAGAGAACTACCAACAATTGCAAAATAAACATTCTGTTACGCGTAGCCAATGGGAAACATCCTTCTCAGAGGCGATAATGTCCCTACGACTGCACTAGGGAATTCCCGGCGGCCGGGGAATCGTGACGGTAGACCTCGGGACTTTATCCAGACGACGGCCAATCAACGTCGTCCGACGTAGTTCGTCGCCGGACGAATAAGTTCGTGAAGTTTCCACGGGTGTCCGTTGATGTGTGTAGGAGTCGCGCGACCGCCTGACGAAAAAAGAAACGGACCTTACCTCCCCCCATCGCTGGGCGCATGTGGAAATTCGGCTTACTTCTCGCGTTAAAGCGTGGCGAGCCGTGCGAATCTAGACTACGTCGGGGATCGAACGTCACGTAAATGGCGAGCAGCGTATATGACGTATACGGGACGGCGTAAAGGGGAAAAATAGGATTGATTTGTCGCTTGGTCTGTCGGGTCGTCGGGTTCACGGAGGCCAGGTCGCATTGTCAACAGCCTAACAACGGACGACAACGCGCAGCCGGACGAGTCGTATCCCGTTTATTCGCGGTGGCGAGCGACACGTCCGCAGAAGGATGGCGACTTGACCTCTCACGAAGAATGGAATGCTGTGCGCAACGGTACGTTTTAATAATAACGGTAGCTGCGGGATTCTCATTCGTTGACGTGCGCGCGTGTCCGAGTCGTCGTCGTCGACGTTCTCGTCGCCGTCTTGAATATCGCGAGTTGCCCTGTTTCACCCACTTTCGCTCCGATGAGATCGGGCTCGCGACGGAAAGGTTACGCGAGCCGTTTCCTCGACTGTGCGGCCACCGCGACGTCGGCCACCTTCCCCGTGGCTCGTCACGGGCGTACGTATGAAATGGCCTATCGACGCGCGATCGCGTGTCCCTACGCCGTCGAATCGCATCGATCTCGTGATTACACACATACACACCATGTATAATGACGTGCAGCAAAACTCGCCACGCTCGGCGACTCTCCGCAGGGTTTATTGTTTCTCGACGGCGAGGAGAGGAGAGAGCGGGTCGCTGAAGTGACTCGTGCCGTTGCGAAATCGCAACGGGGCGGAATTTATTTCGGCCTCGCCGAATCGCCGCCTGCGTCTCTCTCTCTCTTTCTCTCTCGCGCTCGCTCGCCCGCTCTCTCGCTCTCGCGTGCGCGATCGAACCGACACACCGGATATTCGCGAATGACTCGCGCCTCGCTTTGTTGTGCTCCGTGCTCAGCATTTTTTTGTCTCGTTCCGTGGGCTATGTAAGTGGCGAATTTGTATGACCCAATGACGTTTCTCGTGTAACTTTCAGAATATCCAAATAAAATCCACTCAATCGGTGCTACCAAAAGTATAAGGTAAATATGAAACTTTGATAAATTGTCAGATCGGATAGATATAGTGGTAATTACATTAATTAGATCGTATTTTAACCCTCTGATGACAAGGTGGATTCTTAACGTGAACAGGATAGAGGTTGGATCCGACCCCATGCTCTGTTTTGCTCATTTTTCATGCAATTAATGTGCAAAATGGGTGGAGAAGGTAAATAATAACATGAAATATTCCTTAAGAGGTGAAACAGTGCGTGTACGCTGTAAAATAAACGAGCCAGGGGCTGCATCCGATCCTAACCTTATCATTAGAGGGCTACAGGGCCAGTTTTACAACCTCTAGTTGATTTAATCTACTGATTATTCCATCGAAACTGACCAGTCGCATTTGTCGTTAAGCAGAATTGACCAAAAATAACTAATCACGATTGATACTTAACTGGCTGGTTAAGTTAATCGGTGATTGTGAACTGGCCCTAAGATAACATAATTATTTACTGTGGATTGCATATGGAGGTGATCAATAAGTATTTCCTTTTTTCGAAAAATCTTCGCTCGTGAACACACGAATAGATAAGGGGAACATGCATAAACCATTAGAAATTGAATATCAAATTTGCTTAAATATTTCGCAACGACATGTTCTACAGAAGGTCAAGAAATTAAAATTTTAAATGCCCTATTTACATAGGTACTGCACATGTTGATTTGACAAAGCACACAAGATATGAAAATTGCATTGATTGCAATGGAATATGTTTTTTCACAATTTCGTGTATCATTAGTTCTGTTTTTTTTTTCACTGAACTGATTGCGCCAATTGATATTAGTTCTCTTTCTCTCACCATTCATCTTAACTGTATACCTATCTTTTTTTAAATTCTATAAATGTACACTAATTCAGCAAAAAAGAACAGACTTAATTCAAGTTACTTTTATATCGTGGTAAGCATTAGTTGAAAAATTCATTGAATGACACAATTGAGAAAGGACATATATATATATATATATATATATACTTCAATAATTTACATCAATAATTCGCAAAGTGCAAATGCGGGAATATGCAAGAAAACATTACCTTAAATAGAAATATTTACATATTAATAAAATTGTCCTCGTATTAGCCACAGCTTAGAGAAATAATCTCTTTTGTAGAACGCTATCACCAATTTATACAAATGTATATTATTTAAGAAATAATATTCTGACTATATGTACATGTAAAAAAATTGTAATAACTCCTGATAAACACTGACGCCTTGCTTCTCTTCGAAGATGGCGGACGTTGATCCTGAGACCTTGCTGGAATGGCTCAGTATGGGACAAGGGGACGAGAGGGACATGCAGTTGATTGCGTTGGAGCAATTGTGTATGCTCCTGCTTATGTCTGATAACGTCGATCGTTGCTTCGAATGGTACGCGAGCGGCATGAGTAATTGCGCGGTAATGACTTTCGATGTCGACACACAATGTAACCACGCGCAATGTTTCGTCTGTCCGACAGTTGCCCGCCACGCACGTTTCTCCCAGCGCTGTGCAGGATTTTTCTGGACGAATTGGTGCCAGACAGCGTCTTGGAAGTGACCGCTCGAGCTATCACGTATTACTTGGACGTTTCGGCGGAATGTACACGAAGGGTAGTGGCTATGGAAGGCGCCGTCAAGGCCATTTGCAGCCGGCTTTCTGGCGCCGGCCTCGGTTCCAGAGCCAGTCGGGATCTGGCGGAGCAATGTATAAAGGTAAACGATCGGGCCGGTCGATCTTACGTAATCAGGGTTACCACAGACTCGAGGAACCGGGAAAAGTCATGGAAACTTCAAACATCAGGGAAAATCAAGGAAAGATAAGAAATACGTGGAATTTTGAACTTTGCTAACAATTTCCTTGAATGTTCTCAGCTGTATTCTTTTTTCCAATATTCATTTATTTTTTATTGGCCTGAATTTTTATTCAGGATCATATTATGTTTTTTAAGTTTGTGTTGCTCTTCTAATAATACAAACAATAAGCTTTCAATAATACAACACTTTTCCTGCTTCTGAGCATTTAAGATTACGTATTGCTCATGGAAAATTCTCCACTGTCGTCTGGAAAACATGGAAATGTCAGAAAGTTTCACAATTCATTTTTTGCGGCAGTCCTGCTAATATTGAAAGATCAAATCGATACAATTCCATGTGTACGAATGTGCAGTTCTAATATCGTAATGTAAGTTAACAGGGAATATCGATAGAAAATCTACTCTAGAAATTAAAAGATCGGTTTTAACGCGAAAGACTGATTTTTCGCGTACGATTGCCGATCGAAAGAACTGGACGTACGTTCAATACACGACTAAACAGGAAAATATGCCTACAAATAATATTAACTATATTAATATTCAAAATTGCACTAGAACATCTGTGCTTAAGTTTTTACTGGTCTATAAATGAGTTTTTTTTTTTTCGGTAAAACCAAACAGCCTTTGTTATTTAATACTTTTCTAATATTATTTTTTGATTCGCAGGTGTTGGAGCTTGTGTGCGCGAGGGAAGCGGGTGCTGTGTTCGAGGCCGGCGGCCTTCCTTGCGCTTTATGTTTCATTCGAGAACACGGAGCACGTGTGCATCGGGACACACTGCACTCAGCGATGGCAGTAGTCACCCGGCTGTGCGGCAAAGTGGAACCCCAAGACAAAGCTCTGCCGGATTGCGTCGAAGCGCTGTCGGTCCTACTAAGGCACGAGGACGCGCACGTCGCGGACGGGGCGCTTCGTTGCTTCGCGTCGCTGGCAGATAGGTTTTCCAGAAGGGGCACGGACCCTGCGCCGTTGGCTTCGAACGGATTAGTTTCTGAACTTTTGTACAGGTATGCATACATACATCCCATTATATATATATATATATATATTGCACATTATTACATATCTATATACATGTTGTCATATTTATATATTATCATATAAAGCTGGAGGACATCTAAATATCTTCGGGGGCCAAAATATGGAGACCTTAAAAATAAGATCGAAGAAAATGGCTATAAAAAATTTTCCTTCCACGATATTCCTCTTTCCATTTTGCAGATTATCAAACGCTGCAGGTCCTGGCACTTCTGCTACGGCGACGTGCAGCAACCCGAAAACGCCCCCGCCACCCAGTAGCGCGACGACAGTGCCGGCTCCGGAGCCGAAATCCTGTGCTTCAGTTTCAACTATAATCAGTCTTCTGTCGACACTCTGCAGAGGATCGCCATCGATCACACACGACCTCTTACGTTCCGAATTACCCGACGCGATCGAGAAGGCACTAAAGGGGGACGAGCGATGCGCTCTCGACTCCATGAGACTGGTGGACCTCCTGTTGGTCTTGCTGTTCGAGGGGAGATCGGCGTTAGGTCGCAGTACCACGGGCGGACCGTCCGGGCCTTTATTACCGAGACTGAGACGCTTGGACAGCGCTGGCGAAAAGTCGCACCGGCAACTGATCGATTGCATACGTTCAAAGGATACGGACGCGCTGATAGAGGCGATCGACTCGGGTGGCATCGAAGTGAATTTCATGGACGACGTCGGACAGACCTTGCTCAATTGGGCCTCCGCTTTCGGCACTCAAGAGATGGTCGAGTTCTTGTGCGACCGGGGAGCGGACGTGAACAAAGGTCAGCGTTCGTCGAGCTTGCACTACGCGGCTTGTTTCGGCAGGCCGGCCATCGCCAAGGTTCTCCTCAGACACGGTGCCAATCCCGATCTACGGGACGAGGACGGCAAGACACCTCTGGACAAGGCGAGAGAGCGCGTCGACGAAGGGCACAGGGAGGTCGCGGCTATTCTACAGTCACCTGGCGAATGGATGTTACCGCCGAATCAAGAGCACCGGAAGCTCGAGACCGAAGTGGAGGAGTTCACCGAACCGAAGGGGGATCCCGAGATGGCGCCTGTCTACCTGAAACGATTATTACCAGTGTTCTGTGCTACCTTCCAGTCAACAATGTTACCGAGTGTTAGGAAAGCGAGTTTAAGTTTGATCAGGAAAATGGTGCACTACATCCAACCGGAGTTACTTATAGAGACCTGCGGATCCGACAGCACCGGCGGGTGCGGAGCCATGCTCGTGGAGGTGATCGCCAACGTGCTGGACAACGAGGTGAGGACACGTCATCACTTAGCCGAGTGTGTGTGAATATCGCTTTGTTGAGTATCGCTACTCTTCTTACGGTTTTTCGTTCTCGCGTTTTCTGTCGAGAGCGAAAGAGTCAGATTATTCTCTCGGGTAACGAAACCTCGCGATGCGAGATCCCGACGCGCAGGCAGGGAGCAAGTCAGAGTCGGCGTTTTACCAAGCGATTTAGCGGAGATTGTTCGCAGGAACTCGATATAAGGGCGCCATTGTCACCATCCACTGCTTTTAAGGCGTTCATTGGCCCGAAATTACCCGGCCTTACGACTCGCAAGTCCTCGAGTTTGCGCAACTACATTCTCGATAAGACGGTAACGTCCGCTGCTGCATATATTCTATCGCCCGCTACTTGCCGAGAGTGAGAGAGAGAGAGAGGGAGAGAAGGACAGACATCCCTCTCAGAGTCTTCTCACCAATGTTGTAATTTTGTAATTCCGCCAGTCTCCATTAATTAATTTTGTCCTTTAATAATCATATAGAGAGCGATCTCTCGTCTAAGTTTCATTATTTATCATTAACACGTGCACGTACAAGTGCGCACTAGCTGCTCATCTACTTTGAAGCGTGATACTTAACACACTTACGCATGTCGTTCTCTATTCACTCCGGTATTTTGCGTATTTTGTACGAGTAGAGCCGCGCGCACCAGCCACTCTTCATCGAGCCGAGCGCAGACTTGGGCAAATATTTTACTTGGAATAATCGATAAATCGATAAATAACACTTTTATTCAGAAATCAAATAATGATTATTTATTTAAATAATCTATTTAAATGTATATACAAATGATTTATTAGTTATTCGCATTATTCGTCATTCAAGTTACTTGTTATTCATCATTCCATGCCTTGCTTTTTCTCTGTTCATTTTATAGATATAACAAATAAGTTTTTTTTTTATCAAAAATTGCTTTATTACCAGAATAAAATGTAATGATTGTATAATATGCTAAGTAAAAGTAACACGATGAAATATGAATTCACATATACGCGCACACACAGATAATAAATGACGAGTAACAAATAACGCAAATAACGAGTACTTGCAAACACGTGAATAACGAATAATGCGAATAATAAATAACGCAAATATTAAGTAAAAATTCATCTAAATAAAACGTGCTAAATAAAAATTTATTTGAGTAATGCCCAATTCTGGTCGAGCGCACGACTAATTAATCTCTCCGAGTAATCGTGAGCCGCTAATGACTTCCTCCTGACACCGTGATGTACGTCTCTTTCTCTCTCTCTCTCTCTCGCTCTCTGAGATAGAGAGAGAGATAGTGATCTCGCGATGAATGAATCTTACTCATCATTAACGTGAGATTTGCCCGCGTGAGAGAGCTAATCGACTGACCGAGTTGCGAAGAGGGCGGATTCAAGAGACCTGGCGTACTCACTAGAGAATTGCGTACTTTCGACGAGGCTGCCCAAGTACCCGGTCCACCTTTGTCTACTGCCTGCTTGCCGCTGATGGGATCTAAAAACGTGTTTGTTTGCGTTTCTCGATTAGAACGTAATTCTAGGAGAAAGATGCCACGTAACACGCTGATACATCTCTGTATGGGTTTGCAACTGTAAAATAGTCACTCATTTTATCCACGATAGCGACAGTAAATTAATTCGCATTAGTCCACTCTCGTTACACTTAGCGGAGAGTTCTCTAACTTACCCTTTGCCGACGTGGTCGATGTCGTGTCCCGTGGCCCGAGAACAGCTCTTAGTCTAAGACTCCCCGTGTTCTGATACTCGGCAGGAGGACGAGGACGGTCACCTGGTCGTTCTGCAGATGATACAGGACCTGATGATCAAGGGCAAGGACGAGTTCCTGGAGCACTTTGCGCGTCTTGGGGTGTTCTCGAAGGTGGCCGCTCTGGCCGGGCCGCAGGAGACCACGCCTGAGCCGGAAGCGGAGTCGAATCAGTCGGGCGAGGAGCAGCGGATGGAGGATGCGAAGGAGCTGCTGGTGGGAAGGGCGTATCACTGGAGGGACTGGTGCATATGCAGGGGCCGAGACTGCCTGTACATCTGGTCGGACGCGGCAGCTTTGGAACTGTCGAACGGAAGCAACGGGTGGTTCCGGTTCATCCTTGACGGCAAACTGGCGACTATGTACTCCAGCGGTAGCCCGGAGGGTGGATCCGACACGTCGGGTAAGCACGCTTCCTCATCGAGGAGCTTCCCCTGTCCGGAGGGCCCTTCGGACAGGATCACGTCGGGATTTACGCACCGTTCATCGTTTATCCATCTCGCTCTACTGCTGCCTTCCTCATTTTTCACTCGGAGTGTCTAGCTTCTTCGTCCTCTCCGCGGGGCTCCTCCCCCTTCTCCTCGTTCTCTTCAACGGCGATATAGACGAATACATTTCTCTTTTTCTCTCTCTCATTCTCTCACTCTCTCTCTCTCTCTCTCTTCCTCTCTCTTTCCCAAACCGTCATTTTTATGTTCACACATTCGTTCATTCGTGATTAACTTCTTACGCGAGGGGAACTCTGCCTAGAGAATAACTGGTTTTAACTAACTGCCAACAGGAAAGGGGAGGAACACAGAGTCGCTTACTACCGAAGGTAGGTCACATATATGTTTAACTCTTTGTCGGTCCACTCTTTCTCGCTGAACCGGCTGCATCAACTTGTATCAGTTCTCTTCTTCTTCATGTCTTAATTGTATATCTGTCTTTTTCCAAGTCCTATAAGTTACACTAGTTCAGCGAAAAAGAACAGACCTTGTGTCTCTCTCTGTCTCTTTCTCTCTGTCTCTTTCTCTCTCTCTCTCTCTCTCTCTCTGTCTTTCCTTCCCTCTTTCTATCTTTCTTTCCCTCTTTCTCTCTTGTAGTCGGACACGCTATCCTGTCTCTCGGTATTCTCTTACACATTCCACGTTCGAGTAACACACTCGAAAATCTCATAGCATGCTGTTTATACCTAGTCTGTTGCGATTGGATAGCACGCACATTTCATTCTCCAGTGATGATTTGATTTCGGCGTTCTCTCCCCGCTCGGGCGAGGCGGCTCGGTTTGACGCGTGTCTCCGTGATTTGCAGAGAACCGCGGCGAATTTCTGGAGAAGCTACAGAGGGCACGCAGTCAGTTGAAAGTGAACTTCGTGAGTCAGCCTGTACTGTCGCGCCCCGGCACTACGCGCTTGGTCGTGGGAAATTGGGCACTGTCCAGCAGGAAGGAGAGCGAGCTCTGCATACACAACAGCGACGGCCAACAGCAGGCCACCATTCTGAGGGAGGATCTGCCGGGCTTTATCTTCGAATCGAACCGTGGCACTAAGCATTCCTTCACAGCGGAAACCAGCTTAGGTATAGAGGAAGTTGCCGTATCGAGCATGCATGGGAGTGACTCACTTTTTTTCTTACTCGACTTGAACCCTTTAAAAAAACTCATTCGCAAGAAACCACATCTAATAATTAATTTCTTCACAGTTTTTAAGCTTTAGGGATAAAAACAAACAAATTCAATGAAAATATTTAACATGATATTTCGTATGATATGGTAATATAATTATGGTACTTTCCTGCAATTTCTTCAATTTTATACAACCATATTTACGCCCAGGCCCAGAATTCGCGGCTGGTTGGACCGGCAAGAGAGGCAAGAGATTGAGATCGAAGATCGAAGCGATCAAGCAGAAGGTGAAAGTGCAAGCTCAGGAGATCTACGAGCGTTACTTCAAGGCGGCACAGGCTCAGCCGCGCGGCGTGGTGGCGAAACTCGGCGCCATCGTCAGCCAGATCGAGAAAGCGACGCAGAAGCAGCAATCGGGCAATCGCGAGTGGCGTAATATACTACAGACCGCGTTAGAACAGCTGAAGGTGCTGCTGAACGAGGAAGGCCGAGTGTCGGCGTACGAGTTGCACTCCAGCGGTCTCGTGCAGGCGTTGCTCGCTCTGTTGGCCGCACCTCCGGGACCTTCGCCGCCGACTCTCAGAGCGACCAAACTCAGGATGCAGAGGATAACTGTGTTCAAGAGCTGCTTCCAGACGAAAGACACGAACAAGGAGCACAACTCCGCCAAGATTTTAGTTCACAAATTGGTCTCGGTGTTGGAGTCGATAGAGAAATTACCCGTCTACCTGTACGACACTCCCGGATCGGGCTATGGTCTGCAGGTAATTAATCTGCAATAGTTGCACGGTAGTGTATCATATCACCGGAGATCTCTAGTTTTCATCAGCAACTTCACCTTTCCCCGTTGTTTCTTGCTTCACAGATCTTGACGAGAAGATTACGCTTTAGATTGGAGAAAGCCTCCGGCGAGAGCGCGTTGATAGACAGATCCGGTCGCAGCTTGAAGATGGAGCCGCTCAGCACGATACAACAGCTGGAGAATCACTTGTTGAAGATGGTAGCTAAACAGTGGCACGACCACGACCGGTCCACGTTCACGTTCGTGAAGAAACTGAAGGAGGAGAGTAGGATAACGTTCAAGTATCAGCACGACTTCGACGAGAACGGCGTGCTGTATTGGATCGGGACGAACGCGAAGACCTGTTCAGAATGGGTGAATCCGGGCCAGTACGGCCTGGTGGTGGTGACGTCGAGCGACGGGAGGAACCTGCCGTACGGCCACCTGGAGGATATACTCAGCCGCGACCCGTCGGCGCTCAACTGTCATACCAACGACGACAAGCGCGCCTGGTTCTCGATAGATCTCGGAGTCTGGATCATCCCGAACGCCTATACCCTGCGACATGCGAGAGGCTACGGCAGGAGCGCTTTGAGGAATTGGATGTTCCAAGCGTCGAAGGACGGCGTCACGTGGATCACGCTGTACACCCACGTGGACGACTGTTCCCTGAACGAGCCGGGCAGCACGGCCACGTGGACGCTGGAACCCCCGAGCGAGGAGACGCAGGGCTGGCGACACTTGCGGTTGCAGCAGATCGGCAAGAACGCCTCCGGCCAGACGCATTATCTGTCGGTGTCCGGCTTTGAGGTTTACGGTGAGGTGACTGGGGTGTGCGAGGATCTGGGTCGCGCTGCCAAGGAGGCCGAGGCCGGGGTGCGCAAGCAGAGGCGATTCATTAAGGCGCAGGTCCTCAAGCACCTGGTCGCCGGAGTTCGGGTGGCCAGAGGTTTGGATTGGAAGTGGAGAGATCAGGACGGTGTGCCGCCAGGTATGCCGAATGCCAATCACACCGATTCATAGTCGGATCTTAATAACTCTCGAATAACAAGATTCATGCAGTCACAGAGAGATTTGTAATCACAGTCTTCTAAAAAATATTTATTTTTTAAATACTGTCACTCATTGCCTTCATAATCATTTTTATTTTCCGTTAAAAAAGACGAATTTTATTTTATTTTCTGTTAAAAAAACTATTTTATTAATAATGATATTCAAATTGTATGCTTAGAAACTTTTTACAAGTAGTAAGTGACCTTTCTTAATTCAATGAGCCAAACATCTAAGTTCATCCTGCTTATCTGGAAAATCTGGAAAATCAAAGGTCTAAGATCTAATAAGCGGCTAGGTATTATTGAGGCTTAGTATGTGTGTGATAATGATAATTTATACATGTCGAACAAGCGAAGTAGTCGTGAATAATAGATGACGCATCAATCAATTAGAATACGCATTCTGTTGTAACGATAACGAATGGTAATCAGTGACGTTTGATCGCAGGCGAAGGCACAGTAACGGGAGAGTTGCACAACGGTTGGATAGACGTGACGTGGGATCACGGTGGATCGAATTCGTACAGAATGGGCGCGGAGGGGAAATATGATCTCAGATTGGTCGGCACTACTCTCGAGACAGACAGTGCGACTAAATGTAAGAGTAGCGGTGGAGTTTTAACGGGTCGAAAGTCAAGTAGCACTCCCAGCTTGCCCGATTGCACCGACACCGCTATGCGCGGCTCGGTCGCCTCCACGGATCAAGCCGCGAGCGCGGATAATTTGGCGGCAAAGGTACGGCTCGTGCGTTTATATACCATGTTTATTAAAAGAGATCTTAGAAAAATTTAATTTATTTTTCATAATTTTATTTTTTATTCTTTACATTTGTTATATTTCTTCACGATTTTTATATTTAATTATGCGGTACTTTTTATTGCGCAATTAAAATGCGCGATTATATAATATTTTAATTGTATGAAAATTTTTCTGTTTTATAATTAATATTCTTTTATTAAATAATTAAAATATTGCAATTATGCGGTTATTTTAATTGTATAAGAATTTTATATATTTCCCGTATCCAATTGTGTTTATTTTTAATTTTTATTATTTTCATATGATAGATCTTACATGCGATGTGTTACATAAATATGATATGCGATATATGCGTGTGTGATGGATCTTACTCTATGATACGATACTTCTGATGTTTACAAGCAGCAGGCTGCCGAGTCGATAGCGGAGAGCGTGTTATCGGTGGCCCGTGCGGAGGCGGTCGTCGCCGTGACTGGCGAGGGTGGAGCGAACTCCACGAGCGAGCTGTCAGTCGTGCTGCACCCCAGGCCGGACACCACTGTCACCAGCGACTTGGCTACTATCGTCGAAAGTCTCGCCCTTAACACGGATTGCCCAGCTAACAGTACTAGTAACCGCGCCTCCAGCTCCAAGCCACTTTTCGCTACTCTGAGAGGTAACAAGGTGAGTTGTATCGTGCGCCGTTCACTCGACACTTCCTGCGATTTTCTACCTTAGTAATATGTAATCTCTGCAACATGTATATGTATGGAACTCTACCGTGCAGGCTAGTGGAGGCTTATTGAGTTTAGAGGCCGCCGAGGTTCTGGATCGTATGAGAGAAGGCGCTGACAGGTTACGGAATAATACTAATAGTTTTCTGAGCGGTGAACTGCTCGGCTTGGTTCCCGTTAGAATCAGCGTGTCAGGCGAGTCCGATGAGAACTCGCTGAGAATAAAGTCTGTATCGAGGCATCATCCTACGGGGATCGCCGATGGTATGTGCATTATATCGATACATAATAAGCCCTTCTTTTCCGATACACCTTGACACGATCATTTCAGCGCTGTGGCGTTTTTTTTTTCTCTCTTTTTTTTTTCTTCCTTATTGTGTATTTCGTACGAGAGAAAAGAAAACCGAAGAAAGAAAGAAACCGGTACACCATGTATAATACGCTGATATACTGATATCTCGTTTTAACTGTTCCACACCTTTTCGATCTCTCTCGGATATAATCTCGGTGTGCGGCGGCTGTCCTCCACATCGGGGCCACCGCCGCACCCCGCGNCTCTCTCTCTCTCTCTCTCTCTCTCTCTCTCTCTCTCTCTCTCTCTCTCTCTCTGTGAACCGAATCGATGAACTCCTTTCATCCTCTCTCGTGCTGATAGTGTATATAAAAATTTAGTACATTTCCTCCGAATTAGTTGCTAAAGACTGTACTCGAGAGAAAGAGGCTAGCTCGTCTACGCAAAATACAACGGGTGGTTGTCCTGTTGTGGTTACCAATCCCATGTCGGTATCTGTGCCTAATCTCGCTTGTTCCGATGCTAACAATACCTTGGAACCAACAGCTGCTACTGGTTTATTGGAAACTTTTGCTGCGATGGCGCGAAGACGAACGTTAGGTTAGTCTCGAAACAAATATATCATTATATATGAATGTGAAGATTACTCATTAAGGTAGCTTCTAAATAAATGGTTTGGCGGAAACCAACTGCCTTAACGTTGACGTACGCTCGCTGTCTCGGCGAGATCGTATCGATTTCTCCGTTTGTGCGACGCGATACGTCAATAATGTGTCTTTCTCTGCAATTCTGGCACAAGCGGTGCTCGTAACTTCAACGATGTAACGCACGTTTGCAGGACCCGCGGGTGGACAACATCTCGCTTCGAATTCTAATACGAGCTCGAATTCACGAGGACCGAATTCCGTGTCTAGCCTTGTGCGACTGGCGCTCAGTCCTAATTTCCCCGGTGGGTTGCTTAGCACGGCGCAAAGTTACCCGAGCTTGACTAGTAGCGGACAGGTGGCCGGTAGTGGCGTCACTACGACGACTGGACCAGGCTTAGGGCAAGCGCTCACCATGTCTCTGACCAGTACGAGCAGTGATAGTGAGCAGGTAAAAGCCCCCCCCNAAAAACCCCCCCCCCCCCCCCCGGTCCTTTTGTTCTTCTGTCTTCTCTCAAACAGCTAAAGCTGAGTACACATTGAGCGAACGAGCAAACTTTGGTTGTTATAATTTGGGAGATTGTAACAACCAAGCATTCTGAATCAATATGAAGAATCACCCCTTAAAATCTTGTAAAATACTTAAGGACCACCATGTATATATATTAGGATCCAGAATGTATTTTGAATCAATTTAATACTTATGATAAATATGCGACATATTTGCGGATGCACAAACTTATGAAAAAAAAAACATACTTGAAACAAGTAACACTTAAATGCAGTATGTATTTTCCTGCGTGTACTTATTTTAATACGTGATAAAAGCACGCACGACGAACTCACTTCTCACATCGTTCTCAACCCCAGGTCAGTTTGGAAGACTTCTTGGAGTCTTGCGGGGGCGTGGCAACCTCCAGCGTCGGTGGAGGTCGAACCACCGGGGCGCCCACGCTCTTAGCCGAGTTGGAAGACGACGAAGATGGTGTTCTGGAGGAGGAAGAGGACAACGAGGAGAACGACCAAGAAGTGAGTGCGCGTTTATTCCTGCGCGATATTCTCGCACGGCCGCAGCGTGAATCGAGACGTTTTGTTACCGACGAAACGTCGTTCCAGGAGGAAGACGAGGAGAATGAGGAGGAGGGCGACGGCTGTGAGGGCGAGTACGAGGAGGTGATGGTGAGCCGCAATCTCTTGGCGGCGTTTATGGAAGATGAGACGCCGCAGAGCAGCAAGCGACGCGCGTGGGACGACGAGTTCGTGCTGAAGCGCCAGTTCTCCGCGCTCATCCCCGCCTTTGACCCGCGTCCCGGCCGAACGAACATCAATCAGGTGAGCGAGGCGTTTTTCCCCCGATGAATTGCACACTCCCAACAATGCCGGTAACAACCGTTCTTCCGTCCCCGCAGACAACGGACTTGGAGGTCCCCCCGCCCGGCAGCGAGGCGCAAATCAATAGCCGCGTTGGATCGCTGCCCATGCCTAGACTCTCCTTGTCGTTGAAGGGGCCGGGATTCCCCGGTGTAGCGGACGTCGAGATACCCCTCTCAGATCCCCACGCTAGTATCTTTCAAGCTGTTCAGGAATTGATGCAGCTGACCGAATTGGGCAGTCGCCAGGAGAAACTGAGAAGGATATGGGAACCGACCTACACGTAATAACTCGTTTTTCGTTAATCGATCATAGTCATGTAAGATAAAAAAATCCAACCATCACTCTTTCTATTCATTCATTTCGTCTCCCGTTTAGTATAATATACAAAGAAGCCAGGGACGAGGAGTCATCCGGCAGAGCGACGCCGATCGTGACGCTGTACTCGCGTAACGCCACGCAGAACGCGAACGCGTGCACCGTGGAGGACGTCCTGCAGCTGCTGCGGCACGTGTTCGTCCTAAGCACGGTGCGGGACGACGGCAGACCGGTCGCGCTGGAGCAGGAAGAGCCGGACGACGCCGGCTGCTGGATTCACCCGGACGACTTCACGTCCAAGAAGATCACGAACAAGATCGTACAGCAGATTCAGGACCCGCTGGCACTGGCGGCCGGCGCGCTGCCAAATTGGTGCGAGGAGCTCGCGCGCAGCTGCCCGTTTTTGCTGCCCTTCGAGACCAGGCGGCTCTACTTCAGCTGCACCGCGTTCGGCGCCTCGCGTTCGATCGTGTGGCTGCAGACGCAGCGCGACGCGATCCTCGAGCGACAACGAGCACCGGGCCTGAGCCCACGACGCGACGACAGCCACGAGTTCCGCGTCGGCAGGCTCAAGCACGAGAGAGTCAGCGTGCCCAGGGGAGATAAGTTGTTGGACTGGGCGGAACAAGTGCTGAAGGTAAGGAATGCAATCGAGAAGAGGTCATTGTAACTACGAGGTTCATTTCAGGATTTGATTGGTCGATTTGTTTTGAAAATATTGTACTCCAATTTCGCTTGAAGTTTACATTAATTATTTAAATATTCGTTGTTTAATTATAAAAATCAATGTGTGGAAACGTAATTTTGCTCGATGGATACGAAAGTTATGAGTCTCTTTTCTCCTACACAGGTGCACGCGAGTCGAAAGAGCATACTCGAGGTTGCGTTCGTGGGAGAGGAGGGTACCGGGCTGGGGCCTACTTTAGAATTCTTCGCGTTGGTCGCGGCGGAATTGCAGCGCCGGGACTTGGACCTCTGGCTGTGCGACGACGTAACGGACGGCAACGACGATGAGGAGGAGAACGGTGCGCGGATCTTGAACGACGACGAGCAGTGCATCACCACCGAGGAGAAGATCCGGCCGGCTGGTTACTATGTGACACGCGCCAGCGGCTTGTTTCCAGCCCCGTTGCCGCAAGATTCGGCAGCTTGCGACCGCGCTGTTCGATATTTCTGGTTCCTAGGGGTCTTCTTGGCGAAGGTCCTACAGGACAATAGATTAGTAGATCTACCGTTGTCCCGTCCATTCTTAAAACTAATGTGTCGTGGTGATATCTCGAACAATGTTAACGAGAAGATCGGTCTCACCGGCGTAACGCAGGAGAGCATGTCGTCCAGCATGTCGAGCAGCTTTATCTCGGAAGAGGGCGAGACCGATGCGGCGTACTCCGCGCTGGAGCCTAGCCCGTGGTACGCCGGCTTGCTGGACATCGAGGACCTCGCCGAGGTGGACCCCGTGCGGGGGGAGTTCCTCAAGGAGATACAGAACGCGATCACGAAGCGCGATCGGACCTTCTCCGACGGCCCGAACGCCGTAGTCGACGAGGAGACCACCTCGTCGTTGTACATTTCCCATCAGTCCGGCATCTCAGTTGCCATCGAAGATTTAGCGTTAACCATGACGTATTCACCAAGTTCGAAAGTGTATCAACATGAGGTGGAGTTAGTGGAGAACGGAGCGGAGGTCGCGGTGACGATAGAGAACGCGAGGGAGTACACCAATCTCACCATCAACTACTGCCTTAACCAGGGGATATGCCGGCAACTCGAGGCATTCAAGTCGGGCTTCTCCAAGGTCTTCCCGATGGAGAAACTACACGCCTTTAGCCCGGAGGAGATGAGGGCGATGCTCTGCGGCGAACAGCATCCGCAATGGACGAGGGAGGACTTGCTCAATTACACCGAGCCAAAATTGGGGTACACGAAGGAAAGGTAAGGCGATATTTTATTTCATTTCATTTTACTTGTTGATACCAACGATACGTGTTTTCTTCTATCGGACTTTTTTATAAGAATTTTTCCCAAGCTTCGTATTCCTCTCGTATATTTTCATAAGAGATATATCAAATTGTTGTAAAGTATCTATTAACTTAAAGTTTTCAGGTATTAATAATTTGTATGAAAAGGGCAACAGCAAAATACCGGCTTGATATTTCTCTCGATATGACGAGTATTTTTTTTTTCAAATTTTTTCTCGTATTCCGAAAACTCTTATATTCTCAGAAATATATCAGGTTACTACAAAGAAATGCATTACTTGCGGAAATCATCCTAGTTATGAGGTGTCAATTTTTATGAAAAAACGAGCAAAGCATCAACTCGTCGATATTTCTTTCGACATTTAACAAAATTTTTCTGTATTTCTCGCTAAATATCCAAATCGGTAATTTCCTGACAAGTCTGAATTTAGTGGAGAAACGATCTTTTTTTTTTTGCACCGATCTAATAGGCTCATGTGATGGACAGAGAGAGTTGACGACACACTAAATATTCTTCCTTTCAGTCCTGGCTTCCAAAGGTTCGTCAACGTGTTGTTGTCGCTGACCGGTTCGGAGAGAAAAGCGTTCTTGCAATTCGCCACCGGGTGCTCGGCCCTGCCTCCGGGTGGTCTGTGCAACCTACATCCCAGATTGACCGTCGTGCGCAAGGTGGACGCCGGCTCCGGTGGTTATCCTTCTGTTAACACCTGTGTTCATTACTTAAAATTACCGGAATATCCTACTGAAGAAATCCTGAAGGAGAGACTCTTGGCCGCTACCCGGGAACGAGGATTCCACTTGAACTAAAGGAAATACCTTATTTCGTTCGCGCCCGAGGGAGGAGAGAGGAAGAGGATTCTCGAATTGTATTCGTAGATTATATTCACGGAGGAGAAAATTATTATACTTAACAGAACGATACTACGTTTATATATGTATGTAGGAGAGAACGAGAGTACGCGGCCTTTATCGTAATTTGATATATATAATTTTACTTTTCTTTTCCCCAGAGGTATAAGAGGTATACATATAATATAAATATATATAAATATATATAAACACATATATATATATATATATATATATCCATATATGTGTGTGTGTATGTTTATATATATAAGGTAGTGTATAAAAAAAAGAAAGGAAAAAACCACAGACACACATACAGACACACAGAGACGGTAACTTAGTAACCTGAGACGGAAAGAGCTTCATTTCTGCGGGGAAAATAAACAGATACGTGTCCATGTGGCGTTTTCGAATGTGCTGCTAACTTATGTGTCTCTGTCTCGCTTCAGTTATCTCGGGACTCGCGACGCAACCGTTTGTTCAAACACGCGTTTCTATATCGGCTTCTTCGTTTCCAAGAGATCCGACGGACAGATTGTCTCTCTCTCTCTCTCTCTCTCGTCGCGCGGTGCTTCAATAAAAATTTTCGTCAATTCTAACGATCGCGATATACAAAACACACACATACACACACACATAATCGAATGTTGCTTGGAGCTCTCTTAAAGTCACGTTGATTTCCTGTATATATTATTGATCTTTGTAATATTTTATATATACATATATATTAAAAATAGGTAGGACAAGATATATACGATATACATATTTATATCTAATGTAATTTCCTGCTGTGAATTAGTCAATACATCCTCTTGTTTTATTTTTCTATTATCATTCGTCTCGCGAATGGGACTCACGATTTGCAGGTAATTGAGCAGCTCGGTTAGGATTTCTGCGCACCGCCATTGGCTATTGACATTTTATTGATAGTCGTTCGACGAATGTTTCTTTTTCTCCTCTCGTGTACTGTGCGAGTAAAAGCAGAGATCGCTCGAAGAGAGAGATCTATTAGGTAGGCAGCTGAACAAAAACAAGTTCGCAAGTGAAGTCCGTTCCAGGTGTTCGATATTCCGCTGTAAAATTGGTCCAAAAATGATTTTTTTTTTTTCACCCAAAACTCTTTCCTTTCCCAGTCTTTCTCGAACTGATAATATCGCTAGCCTTCACAGAACAGAAAGCCGAGAGTTCCTCACACCGTTGAATCCGTGTATTTGCGTACATTTGCTTTCTTTTCTTCTTCGAAAAATATACTTCGGATCTCGTCTAGTCTGCATAAAAGACAAGTTTGATGTGAGAGAGAATTTCTATTTTCTTTATATTATATAAAAAATATTTACTACACACACACACACACACACACACACACAAAAAATCCCACACATGTACGCGCGCGCGCGTAAAAATCCAGTACCGTGCTATGACGAACATTTGTTCAATGAGAGTGATGTAAATCAAAATTGAATATATATACATATATATACATGTATATTTATATTTATGTATATGCATATATATACATATTCGTGTGAGTGTTAATTTTTCACGAATAACGTCGGCGAAAACGGCAGTGTTTCGTAGCACCTACTTAAACCAAAACCACGCAGCTTCTGAAAACGGAAAAAAAAATATCTGTCCAATAACCGAATATATTTGTGTATCTCGTCCCTAAGCATCTCTCTCTCTCTCTCTCTCTCTCTCTCTCTCTCTCTCTCTCTCTAAACGGAAGGGAAAAAGGAAATTTAAGGGAAACAAAACCAAGTCGCGATGCTCTGCTGTTGCGAGCGGACGCGGTTACCAGAGAGTCGCGGATATGGAAAGCTAAGAAATAATGATTGACACTCTGCATCTTTGTACAATACGCTACTTAATGCTCACGCGATTAATTATAAACTACAGACAAAACTCGGTATAGTTGTAATAACGATAGTTTTTAGAGAGGATATTAAAGATAATATAAATGTGAGAGAAGATTGAATAAAACAGATTATTGATATTGAAAAAAAAGGAACAAAAAAAAAGAAGAATTACCATTACTGTAATATAAATTATTGCTCCTAGGGGAGATGAATAAATGCAAACAAAGTGTTATAAAGTATGATAACATGTTTTCCAATATTACACCTCGTTACAAGTCTTCTTTCGTTTCTTCTTTTTTTTGACGTACATATAAAGTCTTATTTATTTGTCATTCGTATCATATATA